CAGCTGTGTGGAGAACTACAATGGGACTGTGTTTGGAAACAGAGGAGCAGTTGGTCAGTGAGTGATGGATGGAGCCTCTGGCCTGAAGGTTCACACTGTGTGAGACAAACAAGAGACGCTCTTTTAACAGGTCTTTTATTCTGMCAGACTGCAGCTCAGTGGGAATTAGTCAGTTCTTCAACTGATTAAAACTAGCAACAACAAAAAAAGTCGGCATAACACAGGCTGCAGTGGTATAATCCGTTCATAATTAAATATTCATTTTTCTGTTTGTGTGCATGCACTTTGGTATTTTCTTGTTTTTTGTTTGTTTTGTTTYTGTTTCTGTAYATTTGTTGCAAACCACCCCCCACATATTTTATGCTATTTTATTCAATAATATATCTAAATTTCCAGTTCAATCTGAAAAGAGGTTCTGTGACTTTAACTGTTTGTAAATATTATATGTTTAAAMAAATTAAAGTGGCGGCTGTGGTAGAGTGGTCCAGGGAGTCGTCCTGGAGCCGGAAGGTGGCCGGTTCGATCCCCGTCCAGCCGTCTCAGTCATTGTGTCCTTGGACAAGACACTTCATCTGCCTTGCCTTCTTATGGTGGTCAGAGGGTCCGGTGGTGCCGGTGCATGGCAGCCCTGCTTCTGTCAGTGTGCCCCAGAGCAGCTGTGGCTACAATGTAGGTTACCATCATCAGTGTGTGAAAAGTGCTTTGGGGTCTGAAGGGACCTGATAAAGTGCTCTATCAGTCCATTTACCATCTTAGCCAGGTAGTCAAGTAAACATTATGAATTAAAGAAACAAGCACTACTGAAGGAAAATTTATTGATTTCTATAGAGTCTTAATTGCATTTTACATGGTTATGCTTGAGATATTTAGAATATTTTTATAAATGTGTAATCAGTTTATTTTTATACTGGATTAAGTTATGAGAACAGCAAGTTCTGMGGGATTGTCTAGTTACACGCTTACKTTGATACAACACAAAAAGATACATTTCCGATCTCAGTATTTTGATAGAGAATTGGGTCATTTTCAGGAGGCACGTCTCAGTTCTGGACACTWTTAAAAAGATACTGTGTCATGATGAAAGAGACAAACTGCCAATGGCCATTTTGTTTCAGACTTCCAGAGCCACAGAGAGGCTCAGGACGGGAAATGGAATCTTTAGATCTGAAAGCAAGTATTTAACTGAGAACTTAATCTGGTTTTCTGCCTATTATTTGGGCATCCAATTCATATATGTCAAGTTGTGCTGATTGTCCATCAATTACACAGATTTTCCCAAATTTTGCAGGTCTACAGACGTATAGGGAAATCCCAAGGATTTTTTTTTTCAAAGCTGCAGGCACTGTTATCTCCACCCMCATTTCTGACTTTCCCCACGGTGGACAGTCCACCTGAACAGTGCGAGAGCAATACGGACTTTTGTGAAAATTACTGATTATTGCAGGTAAACTTTCAAGAGTGTTGATATGTATGCCAGTTTTGAACATTTTCATTTTTTCTATTATCTTAAGCAAAGAAAAATGTCATGATAGTTGATGATGGTTCAGTGACTTATTGACCCTTATTATCAGCTGCTGAAAGCCAAAAAGCAGGTGATAATGTTTTTACCTGTTGTGTGTTTGTGTGTGTGTTCTAGTTTTTGATACCTTGTAAGACCCATTTTTCCCAAACTACCTTGTGAGGACCCACTGCTCCAAAGCCCAGACCACATAAGGAGCTGTTGGTAGGGTTAGGTGAGGTTAGGGTAAGGGGATAGGGTTAGCTGTAGAAATGAATGGAAGTCAGTTCAAGTCTACACAAAGATAGTAACACCCCACGTGTGTGTCTCTGTGTGAATGAGTTTGTCTACTGGAACTTTCAGAATTAAACATCTACTACTCTATCCACAAAAACCTTTGAAGTTAAACAATTCAAGTTGACTGCACAGCTAATTGACCTTAGCCTAAAATGGCTGAAACTCAGGGAAATGTGCAACAATTGATTGAACATTTGTTGTTGTAGTTTTTAGTAACAGCAAAAATAAAAAATAAAAAATAAAATTAACACCTTATAGAAACATGRCACATGTTTGTAGAGCTTTTATCCTCTGGGATAAGAGGAGCTTTTATCCCCAAGGAGTTCATAACATCTGAATAAAACCGTCCTGCTGTCAGACCCCCACCACCACCCCAAACCCCTTCATGCCCGTCGACAGCTTGATGTAGCCCCATGGGACCGATGTGCTGACTCCAGCCTCTGACATGCTCCTTGCTCGCGGCCTTTGACCCCCTCACAAAGGAGGGTGTCTCCCTGGACAGAGACGTCCCTGATGTTTGCCGGCTGTGCTGCACAAAAACCCGCTTGGTCCTGTTGACACGGGCATTAATAGGGACAATGGGGGGATGGGGAGGGGGTGGAGGGGTCGGATAGTGAGGCCCCCCCGCGGAAAAGGGCACTTCCTGTGGTTGGATGAGCCGACTGGAGAATCACCAACAACCGTTTTCATACAAGCAGTGTGTTTTCATGCTTGATAAAACATTTAGTTTGAACAGTAATGCAAACAGAAATATGAATGATTTCAAAAAGACTTTTTAAACTGAAGGTTTTTTTTTTTAGCTTCCATAATGGTTTATTTGAAGAGTGTCCAGGAGTCTTTGTTTGTATGACAGTTCACAGAGTATTGATTTTTGCTTGTCCCTGAAAGATGAAGGCAAAGCAATAATGGTTTTGCYCGTGTCTGTTTGTGTGTGTCTGTCTGTCAGGGCACCGTTTTGTTTGGAGAACCCCATGAATGTGTCCTGAAGCAGCTTCACTGAGACCTGACCTACAGTCTGCACCATTAAACCAGCCAGATGGAATCAGTTGTGTTGATGGATCAAAGACTTTACCAGTGCTTTGTCAATATCATCATCATTACAAACATCACGCATCGTGAAAGACTCAAGGCTGCTGGAGTRCCAGTACTGTTTGTTTCAGTTTATTTCTCAAATGAGGACAATATTATATTCATCTACAGAAAAAAAAACATGTTGGCACCAGGTTTACCCACAGGCTGGATTCCACCAACAGTCCCTCTGGGAAGAAACGCACTACATACGTATGTTTGACCCAGGTCCGTCCCAGGTTTTCTACAGTTCAGACTGAATAATACTTTATTTTGGAACCAGATGACTGTATTTTACAAATTTAAACATTAGTTTTTAATGTTTTAGTTGGTCACTATAGGTTTGAAGTGTTTTAGCTGTCTCAAAGAAATGTGTTTACATAATGACAATCGCGTTTTCTTTAAGTTGTTAAAGGGGACATTTTACACAAAATCCCTTTTTTAAGCTRTTAAATGCATTTTTTGTTTGTACTTGGAGTCTCTAGAAGAGCAGAAATGTTTTATGTAGTCTCTCCGGGTGTTGCATAGTATTCTGCTTTCAACCTGTTCAATTTTCTCTTTTTTGTATGACATTTATGTTACAGTTTTTGCAACAGAATTGCCAAATAAGGTCTGGATTTACCATTTACAATTAGGTCRTCTTCCTTCTCTGGCTCTGGGTTAGACTCTGTCTTCCCTTGTTGACATCTTTTAATCATAAATTAAACATTTCTGAATCGCTATATAGTTGCAAACCCATCGATCAAACTGGACCGTTCTGGAAGCTGGAGGTGGGGGGTGGGTTGTGAAGCTCCTCCTTTGGATTTGAAGAAACAGCCTCGAAACAAGTTGATCTGAGACACACCTCAGAAAAGGGGTTGACGCAGGACAGGACGAACTTCCCAAATGCTGGGTCCAGCGTTGATGAATTAGTAAATGAAACTCACTAAAAATCATTTCATTTTCCTAATTTTATCGGGGTGTAACAATCCAGTGTTTTTCAACCCTGATCTTCAAGGCACACTGCCCTGAATGTTTTGGAAGTTTCCCTGCTTTAACACACCTGATTCAGATG